TCAGTAGGTTCCATAACTTCAGCAGCTTCTGCTCGTGATCCAGATTATCCACACTGTACAATGTCTTCCTAAGCTCTTCGCACTCCACGCAGAGCTGACGGTAACCCCAGATAAGCTCCACGCATTTACCAAATGTCTTGGCAAAATCAGGATGTGCCGTGGGATTGATTTTTTTCGTCACCAGGACGGTCCTGATGGCATCCTCCAGAATCTTGCGTTCTGTTTTCGTCGTTATTCCACGGTGATCAGCAATGTCATTCAAATAAGCTACGAGGGTTCTAATATTCGTGTTGCGCGACTGTCCGAGAGTCTCCTCGACTGCAAAAGCACGCGGCGCTCCGGACGGCTGTCCGTAACAGATTCTCTGCAACTCGCACATCTGCGTGGTGTGATGCAAGAACCATTTTATCAAGGGCCTGAAGTACCAGCACACCAGAGCCCAAAAGTACCTGAACATGCCTGCCCGATCGAAGATAGTGACGGTCGTTTGTCAAAAAATATCCCTCTAAAAGTGTCGTATTGCCGACGTGTTGTTACTCTGCACTGCAGTGGACGTCATTTCGTTTTGACTATTTATTTTCATATTGCTATGTAAATATAAGATAGCGATGTGTAAATATCAATAGAGAATGCGATATAACCTCTCATCAACGTCACGTCTTACCACTTTCTCTCTCTCTTCCTCTCAAACGTTTCACCACCGAATACAAACGCGCATTTACAATTTACATACATTATGATATATCAATAATTTTCATTATGCGCTTGACGTCGATATATAATCTTTACACCCTTCAAGGTGACTTTTCATATCAATTCATATGCAGCTAGTTGCGGCAACAATTTATTAGGGTGCGCTCCCATGGGATGCGGAACTGCGGAACTACGGAACGTTCATGATTGGTCGTGACGTCATTCCGTCGATTCCGTTCCGCTGAAGGGTGTTTTCCTATGTCCCATGGAGCGGAATTTACGGAATGCGCAATTAGCATTGACCAATCGCAAGAGTCTTTCCGTAGTTCGCTCTCATTAGATATACCGGAATAGCGTTTGTCATTGGCTCGCATTAATTTGACATAGGATAACGAGGTCCTGCGGATCGGAAATCATATATACAAATAATACAGAGACGCCTGCACAGTCAGCTGTGGATGTTTTCGAGCTACCGGGTTACTTCTACTCGGTGGCAGATAGGCAAACAGGACAGCGCCCGATTCTCTAATCCATCGTAAGAGAAACGTATACGAAAAATTAGGAAAATGCAAGCGTCAAACAGCAACCAACCAGAGTGGCGATATTTACAGTGGCGTAAAAAATATCGCCACTCTGGTTGGTTGCTGTTTGACGCTTGCTGCGACCAGGGTGAATCCAGCATTACTATTGGTTATAATTTTACATGAAATGACGCACTTCTGACGCAAAATACATTTTGCCGCATCTCATTGAAATTCAACCAAATGAACACTGAACTGCAAATGCCATCAAAAAGTTCGAAGCCAAGAAAGTCCATTATATTAAAAAAGAAAAAAGTGCAAAAGTTCCATCTAAAAAAATATTTTTTAGATATAATAAAGAACGACACTGAATGAGGAAATATGTTTACGATTAATTAATTATTCTTAATAAGTACTAATAGATTAAATTAAAGCTAACTTTTCATACGCAGTACGCTTCAACAGTGAAATGTTATTACTAATTAAAAATCTTATGTGAAGTGACGTACTTCCAATCACTTCTCAAAAATTTATATCACATGACATGTTGCTACCGCAGCGTGCTAGAATTACAGGCTCTCTACAGCGTGCTGTGCATGAAAAGTCAGCTTAACCCCGGATCTACAATACGTGTTTTAAGCCCTAAGCTGTAAGAAATTAACCAATTACAGTCGAAATTCGAGAAGAATAATCGACTATTATTCGTCCATTTCTAAGACTGCCTGAACTCGAAATTATCTCGACACGTTGTATGGTTATTTCATTGGCTGAACGGGATCTTAGGCTGGTACTCACAGGCCGATTTTATATAAGTCAGTTTTTATTTAAAGTCTGTCTTCAACAATGTCTTAAAAGATGCTAATATTACTCTGTGATTAGTTTATAATATCTTAAGACTATATACTTAAGCTTATCTCTTAAATACAAAAATCGACTATAAATATCAGCCAATTAAATTTGAATATCGTCTTATAAGTGGGCTTTTTCATTTAAACCAATAAAATCATTTCAATAAATATCTTGAGAGTGTGGTATATATTTGTATCTCTATATTTGAAATAATTTTAAAACTATATAAGATTGGGTCGTGAAAATCATCCTTAGAAATTGTTTGTTAGGAATATTTTTGCAGGTTTATTGAGTGGAGCATTCTCTGTAACATAATAACTGCCATGCCTAATTCACACATACACCCCCCCCCCCCCCCCCCCCACCACCAATTGATCCACTCGTTGTTGCTTGAAAGGGATAACACCGGCAAAACGAAGAACGCCAAACTAACCTTGAAAGGAACGAAACCTATTTTTAATTACAGGCTCGTTCCTTCGTTCGTCTTTACGTCACGTCGAGGAGCGCCGGATCGATAATACGCGATCCGTTTGCATTATAAGGTGTGCGTTTTTCCGCGCGCGCTCTTTTTTTGCGTTCCTTGCGAAAGGAAAATACGTTCGCTATGCACTCGTTGCAGACGTATACATACCAAATGACGTTACTAAATAAAGGTGTATGTCTACCAAGAGACGCGTGCGAACGAAAAATCATCGTGCTTACAGCGTTATTTTAATCAATAAAATACGCTGTAAATAAATTTCGCTAACCTGCACTTGTATTCAATTTTTTTTACAACCTTGTTTTCTGAATTCTATTTAGACCGTGTTGGGTTTACCATCCGAGACGCCATAACTGTTTGCCGCTTGTGCCGATTCGGCTTTTATCTTAGATAAAGGATATTACGAACGCTCTGATTTTACAGATTTGTTTATACTTCTACATACGTTGTTTATATACTTCGCTACAGTGCGTTATCTCTCATTGATCTCTCATAAAGAAGATACAAAAGCACGAGAATCGGACTTCATACCAGGAGGAATGCAATCAAGGACAATCTGCCTTTATTTTCGCAAAGCATGAATTAAAATGATGTAGCACGAATTAAATATCTTAACGGATGTTCAATGCGTTTGTTTCCGTTTGTCGGGAACACTCAGGCAAAGTCGATGATCGCTAATCAAACTATACGACTCGCATTAAATGCTCGTGAAAAAAATTAAGGAGGGAAAGCAGATTGATTTCTCGAATGAACAAATACGGCAACACCGAACGACCGTTGAAAAATATTCAAATCGGAGTAACAGAATTTGTACGTAAATCGTTTACAAAGTGTAGCAATCGCGATAATCCCAGATGGAACAAAGGTTATAATATTACAAGGATATTATTACGACCTTATTTGTCACTCATAAGTGATGAATGAAATCATGATGGCGTCTTTTATGGTGACCGGTATTCATAAGTCTTAAAAGCTGCCATAAATTAACCGCAAGTCGTATTGGCATCTTCAAGCATACTTAAGGCGGTCTTAATTGATTTTAAAACAAGAATCGACTATAAATATTGATCATATAATCCGCTCTTATTTTGTGAGATCTTCAGAGATCTCAATATTTTCGAAACTACAGTTTCAAGACCGTATTTAGTTCAGATTCTTATAAATACAAGGGTTATTATGATTGGCCTGTAACTGTGTCTCTACCTAGAACGTTCACATAAATACGACACACGGACTATTGATTCGGAGGGTGAAATTATTTCATCCATACATCGACATGTAGAAGCTGAAATCATCGAAAACGCAGTCGGGGAAAATCAGCGGGGTCAACGTCCCCCCAGCGCTTTTACAACCGGCTCGTAACTATTCGACGTTCGTCGTGCATATGCGATTTTTTTTTCCTTTGCATAATCCTGTGCCCCAGACACACACACACACGCGACGTACATACACGTATCGATCCACGCGGCGCAGGTCGTTATTAATATTAATGTCCAATTCTGCGCAAATTCTCTTCAAATTTCCATCGTTATCAACGAAATTTCTACGCAGCACCCGTCCGCCCCCCCCTCCCCCACCCGAAGAAGTGAAACGCAAATCGTCCTCCTTCGTTCCCGAAATGCGTCCAACGGACACACACACGGATACGACAGTCCGCCCGCCATTGTGAGAGGCGTTCGCGCCAAATCGCGCCGCGATCGCACGCGCGAAATTGTCGGGAGCGGAGGGACCCCGGTATCGCCGTCACCGTCACCACCACCGCCACAGCGACCGTTCAAGTCAAGGTAAGGAGGAGCACAGGGAGGAAAAAAAAAAGAGAAATTGGATGAGAGGAAGAGAGAGTCGCTCTACGAGAGAGCCCTCTCGGTGTTTGGCGGCGGCCGACGCACCAAGTATGAACGGAACGGGCCCGATTCTCTTTTTCCTCCGATGCTTGCCCATCGCCGCGCGCGCGGGGCGATCTTTTGGCGGGAATTCGTCGACGCGCTCACGGCCGGAGGCCGGAGAGAGGGGGAAGGTTCTCGGTTGCGAACCACGGCCACGACGAATCGCGTCGCACTCCGCAGTGTATAGTGTATCGTTGTCGGTCAGTTGGTGGTTTGGTATTCTCTCGGTAAGTTGGTCTTACGTCGCATTTGTTTGCGCGCGCGCGCGCGCGCGTGTATGGAGTACGTGTGTGTGTGTGTGTTTGTACCCGCCCGTTAATCGTTTCTCGTACGTTGACGACGACTCGACGTATCGTGACTCCACGCGAGACAGGTTCCCCTCGTTTTCGGAAGTCGAAGCGTACCGCCGCGCCGGCCGGCCGGCCGGCTCGCCGCCGCCGCCGCCACCACCAAGGGCCGAAGAGCGCGCGCGAGAGAGGAGTCGGAGGCTGTGTGTTTGACGGCGGGGCGGTTGCGGAGCGCGTACGAGAGTGTGTGCGTGAGAGAGAAACGAGCGCGCGCATGCTATACGCTTGTGTCTCTCCTGTGTGGCCCGTGACTGCGTGTAGAGTGCGCGGGCAGACAGCGGCGCCTGTTAATACACGACGGTACGGCACGGCGGCGAAGCGAACGACTCCGAACGAGCGAGAGCGTGCCGAGTGCACCCACGACGCGAAGTCGCGAGAGTAGATCGAGCCGAGAGAGGAGTGCGTTTCGCGAATCTCGCAAATTACGCGATATATAACGATTACACAAGTGACGAAGACGCGCGCGACGTGACCGCGTAGGGCATCCCGACCGTCGTCCGTCGCCACGCCAGAGCGCGCGCCGCCGACCGGCAAAGGCAACGGTAAAGGACCGCGGCCGAGATCTCACCCCCTTTGTTCTCCGCGGTGCGAGAGACGGACGCGAGATAAAGAAAAAAAAAAATTTCCTTCTCATCTGCGAGTCGAGAGCGAGTGAGGTGAGTGTTGGAGGAGTCTGTGTGTGTGCGTGGATTGGTGCGGGCGTGCGTGCGTGCGCGCGACGGACGTTGAGAATCTCGCGGGTGAACCACGCCGTTTCCTCCTCTTGGTTCACACACGATTTGACACGACCGTTACGTCGTGTGCGCGCGGGATTATTAATGATTTTCGGCGGTAAGCGTGCGCGTACGCGCCGCGTGAGCGCGCCCGACAATTCGCCGGGCTCGCGACGAATTTTTCGGCGCATTCCGCGTCGTCGTGGCGCAGTTACTTGCAGAGATTTCGCGCGGCACGCGGCGATTTCGACGCGGCCTCCCAACGGCGCGCGGATAGGCGACGCCGCCGCGGAGGTACACACGATTCGTTCGTGTGGACGCCATGATATCGCGCCTCTCTCTCTCATGGCGTCTCCCCGAGACGACGCGACCGGCGGCGGCAGCCCGTCTCTCCCGTCGTCCGCGTGCGATCGCTGGCTATTTTCTCGTCGCGAAGCGACGACACTCGCGTCGGCATCGCGTAAAAAATTCAGGGATGAAAGAAAAAGACAATTGCGATTTTACCCGCTCCCCCCCTCCGGAATCGAGCCCGACGCGTCCTCGTTAGGGGGGGGGGAGACTTGACGCGTTCCGATTGCAAATTTTGAAAATGGCGGGCACGAAACTTTTCAGAGAGTAAGGAGCAAGACAAGAGACGCTCGGTTAGAGCCTGGCGACGCGATTTTCAATCGATCGCGACGACATTCGACGACGTATAGCCCTCCCGTTGGTTACCCGTGGGATGAAGAACGTCGCGAGATCTCGCTTGGAAAAAGGAGCCGTTCGAGCTCGCGAATTAATTACTTTCGATCGCGCCGAAAGCCGCGTGCGCGCGCGCCATATCGCGCCGCGTCGAAGAGGCGTTTTGCGACGCAACGTGGACGTCGCACACCGCGTATCATCTCTTCCCGTAAACTTGCGAGGCGCGTAATTGATAGTACTGATTTTCGCAGCGCGTTTGCGCACTTGACTCGTGTCTTCCTCTCGCACGCGCGAGATCTCCGATGCTCCTTTAAGCGCGCGAGACACGGCGAGACAACGGGAGGAAAATATTGGAAGATCGATAGTTACGCTCGTTCTTTTATTTTTACCTTTTTTTTTTCCTCTCCTGAGATTCGAGAACCTCAATGTATCTGTTTCTGTTCAACAACAGCGATAGGCACGAAGTCGTTATTGGTTTTATCGGTCTATGTTAAGGTTAATACATTTTTCTGAATATATACACCATTCATGTTCTAGACTGTAGACGTATTTATTGATAGATAAGTATTTGTTTCATCATAATTATTTTGCTAATATGTAGCACTAAGAGATTTTAAAAGATTAGTCGCGAATATAAAGGACATATTCACAAGCGATACATTTGATGGACAATATCAAATGATTATTTGTATAGCAAGTAATTATTTTCACATTAACCGCACAACATATACATGTGTAAACACAGATGACTCAGTCCTTGTATTAGTCGGCGCGCTTTGTTCATCTTATCGGAGACGAAATAATCTGAAAAAGAGACAAGGGGTGATTGAGAGAGATAATCAATATTGATCTTTTACTTTTACAGTGAAACAGGACAATAAATATGTCAGACGATAATTCCCCTGTGGTAGAGGAGCAAAAAAAGAAGAGGGGCAGGCCAGCTAAGGCAGATAAGAACGCTGTTAAGGAGCCTAAAAAGAGGGGTAGACCTGCTGCGGAAAAAAATAATGCGGTACGTCCTGCGAAATCTGACAATGAGGATGATGCACCACCTGGACCTGTTAAAAAGGGAAGGGGTAGACCTAAGGGTTCTCACAAGAAGAAGGTAAGAAGTCACTAAGGCAGAAATATTCACCAAACTGCAAACTACTCGTATTATTGACTGTATAATTAATTTTAATAGTTTTCACGAGAAAATTGTTGAACTTACAGCAAGGACCACCAAAAGGCACAACTACTTCGTCACGTGGTCGCGGTAGACCAAAAAAGACAGAAGAGAAACCTGAACTCACCGGTGAAGATGAAGACGAACAAGAAGAGGAGGAGGAGGAAGAGGAGAATTGAAGCATCCATAGATGGGGAGGATGAAACTAACACAGCTGACTTATCCTTCGAAGACCTTTAAATAGAACATCGTGTTGAATGAATTCGATCATTTTAAGGTTTACTTTTCTTTCATTTTAACCCGATTTAACTCTCGAGCGAGTGTCGAAGCGGTGAACACTGTCCCGATACTCGAGTTTTCTCAAACTCCAGTTCACAGTGCACATTGCCACACGCTGATGAATTCACCAAGACACGTCGGATACAAAAGTTGTGTTACAAATTTATTAACTTTATTACTTGACATCACTATTAATTAAAATGATGAATGAAAATCATACTTTTAAGTCCTAAGACTACGTACATGTAACCTTCTTTAATAGTAAAAGACTGGAGTAAGATGCCGATCTCGAAACTTTTTTAATTTGCCCGAGAAGTGAGATTTGATAAACTTTTTTTCTAATTAAAGAAAACTTTCATGCAGTATAGAGTATTGTGTGTGTCACATGTTTGCTACCTCTTTTTCTCCTTCATGCATATTACGCAATTCATAAAGCCAAAAAAAAAAAAAAAATGAATTCCATACTGATCTAATATTGTAAGAGATAGAGAAAGGTAAACACGGAAAAAAAAACTTCTTGTATGTAACATACACAGGAGCTATTCTTTTCTAATTAACATTAATAAGTACACTTTCTTAATGTATATTACTGTCGTTTTTGAGGCAAGCATATGTGTGAATGTCAAATTTGTATTAAAGTAAATAAACTCAAAGTACTCTTATTAATTTTGCTTTTATATTCTTTCCTCTGATTTTTAAGGTTCTAATTAAAACTTTTACAATTCTTTATCATAAAGCTGTGACAATATTTCATACAAAACATAGTATAACTTTTTGTTAGAATTCGTTTCATTGAACGGTAAAAGCATTATTTCTCACAATTATCTGAGAGAAATGAATAATATAGAAAAATAAAACAACCGATTATTTTGAATGAGAAAAAAATCTTTGAGAAAAGTAGGAAGAGATGAATATGATTGAAATAAATTGTATAAATAATACAGTTGTAAAAATTTCATATTTATATTTTGTTGTGAAAGTGATTGCGTAAAAGTCAAATTATTTGGAAATTGCACATATAGTATTCAATTGTAATAAAAAACAATTTAAAATGTATTATTTTTGTGTATAATTTAGATGACATTAGGCTATAAAAAAAGTTGAAGAAAATTGAAATTATCAAATATATTTCTAATAAATGTATTGTTTTTATAAAACTTTGGTCTTTAAAAATCTGTATAAGAAAAAATATAGCTAAAATTGTAAATTCTGGTATGCTTAAGAACGCCGTGTGTACAAAAATTACAATAAATAAATGTCTTTAGCCAATGCTAACTATAGCTTAATAAAAAAATTAATGCTATGCAAAAATATGCTACTAGTGGCCACTGAATAGCTCTGCATTTTCTTCAATATCCACGGATCGATATCCTTGCTGTAAAATCAATTGATTCTTATTTTTAAAGCATTTGCGCGAGTCACGTGCGAAAACAATCTTACGCACTCGTTTCTGATGTGTATTGTAGCACTCGTCCAACAGTTCGGTCTCCCAGTCGTCTTCCTCTTCTTCTCCAGGATCAAAGTTGTACATTGGCATGAGTCTGTGTCTTAAACGCTCCAACTTGCGCTTTCTCGATATAATCAGTACCTTTAAGAACAAAATTAAACATTAAAGTTCGAGAAATTTTAATTGTACCTAACAAGAAAAGCAGGACATAAAATTTTGCTGAAAAAAAAAAAACATGCCAAGATTGTATGATCGTGTCACATTTATCCGTAATTCTCATAAAGCAATAAGATCATATGTTAAAAATATAGAATAACAGATACATCACGCATTGCATTAATTACTTGCACAGTATCATGTACACAAATAAAAACAGGGCAGGGGAAAAACGTCACAAGGTAATGATAAAAGTGATATCGCTACCCATACCACAGCTGATAGTATAATAACAGAAACCACTACACCAAGTGGTACAAAAATATATTCTACTCCTTCCGGCGGACCAAATTCATCAAACGATTCTGTTGTTGGTGTATATATTGTAGTGCTTCTTGTAGTGTTAAACGATATCGCTGTAGGTTCAGACAGTGAAGTTATTGCGGTTTTGGATATATTCCACAACCGTTGATTATTCTCGCTGTCCTGCGGCAACTCTACATACGCTGTCGTGGACACGTCGTTGTAGATTGTACTTGGCATGTTTGTGGAAACTGTCACAAGATCATTCATCAGTATAGTGTACAAAATAGACTCGGTGGCATCTGTTGCGTTGTACTCTCTTGTATCATTTGTATCATTATTCTCGTGCATCTTATTAGAAAAAGCTCGATCGATTGTGGTTAAGCCATCAGTTAGTCAGGCTAACTTTGTAAAGTTCCTCGCATGTATGGACATATTTATATCTTACGTCAAGCATTAATAAAATTAGTAAACCTTTCTGTTTTATAATAGGCATGCATAAATTAAGATGTCTCCGTTATCTTACATTATTATTTCTCAGACTTGATGTTCTATCTTCTTGAACTGTATCCACCAGAGAGGCCCATAGTCTGGATTTTGTAGGAAACGTGGATATCACAAATTAAACTCTCTCTATAGTATTTCCTTTTTTTTCTTCGTACTCTGTCAACATGTGCGTTCTTTGCCGCGCTACAATTACGTAGTATCATGTGCTCATCGTTGGATATCCTGTCATCCTCTGATATCGTTTTATGCACGTGTTAGTGAGGGGAACATCAACGTTATATCATCACATTGGTCTTATCAATTGATCATCATAACAGACAGCTCCGGCTTTATCATTAAACAACATCATAAGATCTCACTCTAGTATTGCCGCGGACCCTTGGAAGCATCAAACAGACTCCACCCGCATGTCATTATCAGCTGGATCCGATGGTGATCCTCCTCTGTCTCTACCAACAGTCTGGAGGCTGATCTACATACCACACTACCAAAGTAATATTACCAACCAGGCCAACGTCAACCAGGGTTGCCAGATAAACTCTAGAGACCTTCTAATCAGAGTCTGGACATCACTTTTTAGAACTTAAAAGTGAGATAGGTATATGTTTGATATTTGTAGAAAGCGAGAAAGAGAGTTCTAGTTCAATCTAGTGCAGGAACAGAAAACAGACCAATGATTATTACGTGTAGCAATGTACGATTCTATTACATTTCTCAATTTTGCGTAAAACAATCATTTCTACACATAAGTACCGATAAGTACTTCTTTTTAAATAAAAATGGTTGACTGTTCAGCACCTATCTGTAATAATTCATCTCAGAAAAGCTACACAATGAAAGTAAAATATTGAAATTTGACTTAATACATTATGTTCATGCTCAATTTTTGATGTGTTCTCCACAAATAACAAATTTTATAATAATTTTATCATGTCCAGGACATAAAAATGTACAAAAAAAACAATATTCTTTTTATTTACATCTTTTTGTACAAATTGGCCCTTTTTTACGTTCTCCTTTCTGTTTCTACGTCTATTTTTACATACATACATAAGTTAAATAATAATACTCAAATTTCAATAAATTCTATTATAAACAGTAATTTTTACGAAAATAAAGTTCAAATGAATGGCGCGAATAGAAGAAATATGTCGCCACCTACAAAGCTTTTTACAGCTAAAAGTGGGTAATTTGTTGATGAATTTTTGCCAACAAAATCGCTACATTTTGATAAATTCTCGTCATAAAAATTGCCAGATTTTAGTGATCTTCCATCCAAATTCGATAGTTATACATATACATATAAGGCTACGTACGGTCCACTTGATACTACGAATGCTTTCAAGTTACAAGCACTTTTTGATTGGTTAATTAAAAGCTTCGAAACATTTGTAGTGTCAAGTGGACCGTATCCAAATTTACTGCAAATTTTGAGCATAACGTGAAATACTGAGAAATGAAAACTTCTACCCTAAAATAAAGGTTGAACTAGATCAAGTAAATTATAAATGTCAAATTGAATATGTAGAAAAAATTGCAAGATAGCTATTATTACATCAATACATATCTGATTCTGCTGTTAAATATGTTATAAATATGAAGACCGAACTGTTATACGTGCAATCAGAGCAGTGAATATACATAAACAGGTTATTATTACATGTGTATCGCATAATACGTATTATGGATTTGTTGAACTAATATTCGGAACGGATTCCGGTCGAAATTGTTTCATTTTCCATAGAAAACACAATATAAATTTGAGAAATAATAATTCATAATTTCGATCAAAATCCTCTGGATACATAGCAACCGCAACTTGCCGGCGGCGCGAAATTTCAATATTCATTGAGCAGGCAGCGCATCAGAAAATTTCTCAACATGTTGGATACGAAGAAAGAGAGAGAGAGAGAAAATCGCCAAAGACGCCAAAATCAGAAATATCAGTCGCCAACTCCGAAAATAAAGTTGCTCGACCAAGTTAAAAATCGCCAATTTGGCGATAAATTGCCACATCTGGCAACGCCATAGTATCTGCAATATTTACACATGCGTATAGAGAACGAAAAGTTCATGTGGTGGTGGTGTATCTTTCTTTCTCTCTCTCTCTCTCTCTCTCTCTCTCTGACAGGCAGTGCCCGCTGATGTTATGCGTGTGCGCGCGGCGTGACATACATATGTATACACATGTGTATACGCGAATGTGTTGTATGTCAAATGGATAGTTAAAAGAAAAGGTAACAAAAAATAGTGTCGAAAATGTAAATACATATATTTAATAATAATTATACATTAATTTATAATTATTATTTATTACTGTATAAAGTAATATAATTGTTGGAATACACGAGCCTTTTTTGCTTTATTAATGTCCAATTATATTTTTTAAATTTTTCATCGAATGGCAATGGATCTGTTGTACAATTATTTCCTTGCGCGGGTCCAATAACAAAAATGAAATTACCTTTGTAACTTTCTATATAATTACAGAACGCTATACAGTTATTAAAGTAACAAAATAACATTGCATACCGTTTTGGCACTTGAAAATTTATTGACTTGTTCTCAATAAAAATAATATTTTTTAAAAATTGCGGTGGAGAATATTTGCTATGCCACCAAGAACTATCCAATTCTACACCCACAATGTCTAATCCTTGAAAAATATAATAATGAACAGTTATACATATTATGAAAGAGATATATATATATGTGTGTGTATAATAATATTAAAATTATTTTAAAGATTTACCTGAACATTTTTGTAATAACCACTCTAATAATCCACAACCACAACCAATACTTGCAATTCCAGTTAAGTTATACTTTCGTATAACATCATTTATCCAATACAAATCATTCATATCAGGAAATACCCATGATAATCTACTAGATTTAAGATTGTCACTCGTAGAAGATAAAGCAGCAATCTCTTCCCATTTTTGAGCATTATACAATAAAAGAATATTTTCGTCGATATTGTCACTATTCATTATATGTAGATTTCTTTTCATATGTATTACAACTAATATTACCAATTTATTGTTCTCTTCACTAATTTACTAAGTTTAAAGAAACAAAATTTTCACAAAACACTTGAGAAGCAAAATATTGTTATTCAACAGATTAGAGAAAGGATTTATTCGTGAACTTGGGTTACATAATTTTTCCAATAATAGATTGATTCTTTCCTATACATATCTATAATTGAACATGTACAGGATGTGTCTTAAAAAGCGTCCACGAATCCTATAGCGCTATTCCTGATAGAAAACTGAATTTAAAATTTATGAACCATATTGCAATTTTCGCAATAATTAACGTGATATTAATTACTAAAAATTATTGAATAAGTTGGTAAAATTGATAAATGAAATAATTTTAAGATATTTTTCAGAGTTCCTTTATAAAATATTTTAAAGATAATATCTTAAAATCTTAAAAAATTTAAGAATATCTTAAAAATTTCTTGAAGTTGTCTTATGCGTTGATTTTAGACATTCTATTTATGGAGAAACTAAAAAAAATTGCGAGAATTGTAAAACGCTACTTAAGTTTTAGATTCAGTTTTTGATAAGCGAATAGCGTTACATGATTTATGGGCGTTTTTTTGAGATAAACTCTGTATATTTTTAAACATATTCATTCAATAAATACGATTCTTTTCTGCAATACAACGTATTGATAAAAAATGAATCGTTGGAAACTATATTCATATTATGTATATATATATATAAAGATTTTTTTATTACAATATGACAAAAAGATATACATGAATTAAAAATGAGTAAATTGTAATATCATAATTTATAAAAAAAGATAAGCACTATGTTTTTTTGTATAATAAATTAAATTAATAATAAAAATAATAATAAATTAAAGACACACTTTACATATCTTTAATTAAAATCAATTTTTTGTAGCGCATAATGTATTTCATCCTTTGATATGTTTAATAGAACTTTTTTATATATATCGTTACTTGCATATTCGCAAATTAGCAATCTATAATCACCCAGTTTTGCGCAAATATCAAGAGTTTGACTAATATTAGGTGTTTTGTACCCTAGAAACAGAAATTGCTATAGTATAAATCTTTTCACACATTCTCTTACTAATAAATTTTTTTTATACAAACCATCAAAAGAGCATAAAGATTCAAACTGTCTATAAACATTTATGAAACAAACTTCTTCTACACCAATTCGTTTAATTTCTACACATACGGCTTGCAAGAATATTTGCTCGAATTTCGAGCAATGTTTTATCGCTTGAACTTTTGGATTTATTATCATCTCCGACAAAGCTTCATTTACGTCTTGTATGCTTACTGTAGTATTATTGCGTGTTTCAGTAATTTCTGCCACTCGACGACAAATGTCCAAAGCTCGGCGAGCATCACCTGATACTGCAGATACTTTACTAAAATATAAAATATAAATTGTGCTTAAAATGTTTCATCAAATTTATCAATTTCATTTAAAAAATTAAAAAATGAGTATAATTCATAAAATACACTAATAAAAAGTAAGAGCTAAGTATTTAAAAAATTCTGCAACCACAAAGTTATGCATAATAATAATTAAAAATGTAGATACATAAAATATATCAATATTGATTATTTAATTAATAAAATTAATAAGACCGTTTACGTGAACATCATATAAGTACAAGAAGCGCTACTTGACGGTTAAAGTTAAATATTAAACTATATATATATATATATATAGGTATTAGATTAATATTTAAATAAAAAAGGGCTGATATTTAAAATATTTTAAATAATGCTTACCGTGCAATTAACTGTATAATTTCATTTTCAAAAATGTCTGTGTTTTTAAGTCTGATTAATATTATCTCATATAATTGTTTATAATTGTATGGTTCAAAAGTTACTCGAGTAAGACCTAATCGCGATGTGACTCTACCCATTAAAACTCTTTCTGGAAGATCCATAGTATTGGCAATAGTAATGACTACTAATCGAGCAGAGGCTTTTGTAGGCCAGTCCAAAAGATTATATATTACATCCTGTCGTTTTGTACATAATAAATCAAGCTAAAAATGTAAATAAAAATAATAAAAATGTAAGTAAAATAATAAAAGATAATAAAAAAAATTAACATACTCTAAAAGACAATAAAATATTAAATAATAGAAAAGTAATTATGTAAGTAAAAAATAATGATATGCAATATATTATATAAAGAATAAAGATGTGCATAAAATTATAAAGAATAAAATACATATTGTACACATATACCTCATCTATAAGTAGCAATGTCATTGGCCTTTTAGCATTGCTATTAAATACTTTTTCTAACGTATTATACGCTTGTTCCCATGTTAAAATTTTCCCAGATAATTGCTTTAGAATTTGTACATAGGCTTGCCGGGGCTCAGATAATTTCATACCATTAATCTCAACAAAATCAAAACGGTTTAATTTACCTTTTTTAACTGATCTGTTTAGACATTTTACAATCTCATTTACAGTAGCAGTTTTTCCTGTACCTGGGACGCCATTTATATAAATACATCTGCAATATGTATATATTTTAGTATACTAAAAGAATAAATGTCAACAAATGTTAAGAAATGTTCAGACAAACTTTACCCTCCACTATTATCTGTTAGTTTGGTTTCTAGAAATGTGTAAATATTATTAAACTCTTCTTCTCTGCAAGGTAATGACTTAGGTACTGCACTGACATGCAACTTAGTTCTGATTTCTTGCAATGGTGTAACTGGTTTAGCTAGGATATTGATTCTCATTTTCATAGATGGTTTCCAAGTATCCTGCTTTGATATACAAATTTTTGGTGTACTTGAATCATTCTGTACTACTGAGGACTCAATAACTTTATCATTTCTTCGATTAGGTTTTACACACAAATTTTTATCAACTTTGTGTACAACTTCCATCTTATCAGTCTTACTCTTATTCTCATCTTTGTGTACTGATTCAAATTTATTATATATACTTAAAATAGATTTACGAGTACTCTTCTGAATTCTTGACGTTTTAGGAGTACTCTCAAATGAAATATTTTCTCTTGCATCTGTTTCAAGATATTTTTTGTTATTAGGCGATACTTTTTTTAATTCTTCATTCATAGAGAGAGCTGTATCTTTTGATCTAGTTCTACAAACTTTAGGAGTAGTATTAATATTGATATCTTCTGTAGAATCAACATGATTTTGTTTCTTAAGTTTTGATCTTGATTTTGTAGAGACTGTTTTTGGAATAAAATTAATACAAACGCAATCTGAATCACTTTCGACTACATACTTATTAGTTTGTTTTCTTATATTAGAAGTGTCCAATGAATCTAGTTTCTTTTTATCACAACTAATCTGATCTCTTTGTAAAACCGATACTTGGGATTTAGAAGAACATTTATAATCTGAATATCTTTTAGGAAACCTTATAATTCTTGCACCCTTACGTAACACTTGATTTTCATCTTGCAAATTTTTCATATGACGTTTTGTATTTCTAGTTAATCTCTTAGGTTTCTCATCTTCTGATTCGGTATCTATTTTATATATACTTTGTTCTGTAGAGCGTCTTAATCTCAGACGTAATGAAGCTTGCTCCTTTTGCAATGCATTGGTTTGTAATAAAACAAGTTTGTTGTTCTCAAAGATTTTATCAGAATTGGAAAAGTCAAAAGAATCATTATCCATACTTGGTAAAGGTAAAGAATACAAACGGAAGAATCTGGCAGAAAAAAGTGTCGTTCTGCCCTACGAACCGAGATATTAAACGTTGAGAGTTGAGACACAGTATATCGAGTTGTTGCGGAGTAGATTATTTTCGAACGCAATCTTGTATTATACTGCCAGTTTGTCTTTATTTTTAGATCTAACGGAATATGCCAATCAGATGCGAGAGCTCACTGAGCGCTTCAGTAGCGGTTGTCGTTCTGAATGCACCCAATAGATCCCTAGATTCCTAATTCCTTAATATTCCTGTCCGAGAGTCACTCAGAGGTTAGATATCTCTCCACCTCTGTTGTTCATCAAATGTTAGACAAGGATGACATGACATCCGAGCAGCATTCGTGTACAATTCGTGTAGAAATCTGAACACCTTGAAGACCTTGAGTTCTTTGACTCGAGTGATTCTGTTGAAAGGTTGAAACCAGCTCCAGTTTCTCGTTGAAGTTCGAAATATAATCATGGATGATAGATTTCTATTTCGATTCGATTCATTCCATAGGGGGTGGATATAAGGCCGATTGGTCGTAAACTGATCTGTGAATCTATATATTTAAATATTTATTTTATATTTATAGAATAATGATGTCGACGCGCGCGCGCGCGGATATTACTGAACTGAAAAAGAACGCAGAAGGCAAAAATAAAGATAAAATCTATTGTATGTTTTGTTCTTCAAAAATGCTCAATGCTGGAGCTGCTAGATTGATAAACATGGATGTGAGTATATTAGTACTGTATATAGTAGTATGATAATATTGAGAAAAAATCTCGAGTTATGCTTCTTTATTTGATTGTTATTTGTTTTAGTAATTTAATTATCACAGCTGCTATAATATTAATATATATTTGTGTAGCATTATGCTTTGTCATGGATACCGAACATTTATAACCTAAAAGTTATATTTCATATACGCATTCAATGTAATTATAAAAAGAGTACACTTTATAAAAAAAAGAAAAAAATATGGAAAAAAGATCTTTTTGTTTTAAATATCGGTATTCAACAAAATGACATTTCTATAATTTTTATTGACAACTTCTATTCAGTTTTCATAAAGTAAACATAAAAATATGTTTTGATTGCAGTTTGCGCTACCTCATATCCATAGCAAAGCAGGGGACAAAGCTAATCAATCAGAAACGATTTCTGCTTACTGGTTAATAGAAGATATGTATACTTTTGAAAATATTGGTGTGTCACACACAGTAGACAATGTCAAGTATCTAGCTTGTGCTGATTGTGAGAGAGGTCCAGTGGGATGGCATGATTTGTCCAGTAAAAAGTCATATATTGCATCATGTAGAGTAAAATATGAATGAATAGAAGTAACAGCTTATTAATTAAATATAGTTTTATAATTTTATATAATATATATAAACACATGTGTATATTCACATACAAGTACATACATATACATAAAACATAAGAATATAGAAAGATACACAAAAATAATATTAATGAAACTATATGTACAAAAAGTTTGATTTAGGTTTTATTCAAATATATTTGTCTTTTAAATTAAATGATTAAATAATAAAGTAATTTTTGAGTCATTTAATCATATATATGTATGTATGTGTGTATTTTAAAACTTATTATATGCGTCTATATAAAGATAAGTAAAAAATATTATTAATGTCAATGATACTATAAAATAAAATTCTGTTTATTTTCTATGCAACTCAGAAATCGTGTCAATGTTACAATACATGAAACTAATTAATAAAAATTAAGGTACAATTTGTTTTATTTGACAGTTTAATATTTAATTAAATAATGATTATATGTTACAAACTGTTAATAAATTAGATAATTAATCTTCGATAATATAATAATGTAATGTAATAATATAATGCTTATTAAACTCAATTAAAAATCTGTTTATTATTAATATTTAATAAATGCATTTGTGTGACTTGGTCAATTATGTTGTTATTATTGAAAAAGGTAAAAAAAGAAAAGGAGTCTTAAGGCTCCAAAGAGAGTTATTCTGAATTTTTTATATTCATAGAATAAATTTAATAGTTTGAGGAAATATTTACTTATTACTTTGCGCAACAAAAACAATGCTGTACTCTCATTCGCCCTATATCACTGGATCCCTTGAATTTGGAATTTCCACAAGAAAATTGAATTAATTTATGTATTGGAAGATCTATTGGATGATCTGAAGGATTATACACAACAATGTCTGTTAAAGAATTTTGACAATCGTTAAAAATAAATTCTTTCTTAGATTTTTCCAGTTTCTTCTTTATTTATTTATTGTAAGATATGTAATTTTTTAAATTAATTGCTAGTTAAATTGGCATTGTGAAGATCTTCGTTTTCTATCTGACAGACAGTAAAAAAATCGAGGAAGCACTCTTTCTTTTAAAAGCTGCTTTTGAATCAAGCTTTATTCTCGTATAATTTTTTAAGTCCTTTTGTAACTAAAACAAATAACAATTTTAAATACTATTTAATTTCATATATATCTATATAAAAATTTTACAAATATATCAATACTGCAAAAATTGAAAATTTTTTATTATACAAACTAAGCATTACTTATTGTTCGGAAAAAAATATAACAATATAAAAATTAAATTCAAATTGGAGAAAATTGATTAAAAAGATATACTTATTAATTTTATTATATACATATATAAAATTATACTTACATTAGATATATATGAATCGTACTAATATTATAAGTGATTGTAAGCTTACTATTCGCTAAAGACAGGTCACATGATCAAAATTGACGAATAACAAGCCCACAATGCTTTATACTCCGTGTTCTATGCAAAGGACTTAAAGGTCCGTATTGGCCCGTTGTTTCTAACCGTGTCACTGTACCACGTTTACCGCACTTATATGTAAACGGAATATTCGATAAGTGTTATAAAAATTATAAACTATTTATTAATTTATTAATATTAATATTAAATATGACGTTTATATTACGAGCTTATGCATTTAGTCAAAAGAGATTTGTTATTAAGGATTTTAATAATTTGAAGTGCCGTATTTTGGCTTATACCATGTATGATTACAATTTTGAGGTTAGAATAAATTTTTATACTATTTAAACAGGGGTGCGTTTAGGAATTACGACCTGATAACTCTAAACTGTAGTTTGTTACGTATATTATAGCAAAAATGCATACTAAGTTATTTCGGCGCAATTCCTAGATGCATTTTAGATGGTAATTGTGAAGAAGATGGACTTTCTCACCGATTTCAATGAAATTAGACTTATTCAACACGTTTTTGTGCGAAATGAATGAATCTGGCAAAAAAAGTGTTTCTCTGTCTCATAAACCGAGGTATTAAGCGTTAAAGATGATTATTATTCAGGTTGGATCATCTGTCACAGTCACAAAATTATACAAATACTCTACTTTAACACAAATTCACTGATTTACAAACACATTTACAAAAACATTGCTTTACGAACATAAATTCACTGACAAAACAGAGAATTTATGTGTTTAAAGCAGTGAAATGGTGGTTGTATATGTAACAAACTACAGTTTAAAGTTATCAGATCGAATAACGTTCATCTTTAACGATTGATATCTCGGTTCATGGGACAAAGCGATACTTTTTTGTTTGCCAAATTCATTCATTTTGTGCAAAAACATATTAAATGAGTCTAATTTCACCGAAATCAGTGAGGAAGCCCATTTTCTTCACAATAATCTATTAGACTATTATTGAAATAAATTATTTCATTGATTAAAATGTTGTTATAATATTAAAGAAATTTAAATTTTGTAGAAATGTTCTGCAGCACATAATATACGAGTTTGTCATACTGTAAATTCCTTTTCTCAAGATTATCGGAAAACTATTGGAAAAACTGAAATTTATTATGGACCCTTAACAAAACAAATTAAATTACTCAAGCTTTTTTCATTATTAACCTCTTCTGGTGGCTTATTAGTTCAGCCATTTCTTTATATGAAAGCTATAGAGAATGATAATATAGGAGTTGTTTTAGGAATATTTGCATGTATCGGATTTTTTGCAATAACTACTCCTTTATTAATACATATGATAACGAAAAAATATGTAACATATTTGTATTATAATGCAAAAGAAGATACATATATTGCAAATACTTATAGTTTGTTCGCCAGAACAAAAAAGGTATTTAAAAAATTTCATACAGTATATTTCTACAGAATGTTTCTGTATCTCATGTAACAATGAATTATATTTCAGCTCACATTTACACCAAAAGATGTAGTAGTACCTGATGTAAATGGAATGTTTACAAATTGTGTTATAAGGAATGTTCCTTTATTTTTAGAACAAAAATTTTTCTATGACTCTAGTCATTATATTCGTATAATGGGATATGATAAACCAATAGATTTTAAATTACATACTAATTTTAATCAAACAGTCCCAATACACTGTAAAGAGAAGAGTCAAAATGACTGTAAAGAAAATAAAAATAAAAAATAATTACAAGGTAGCTTTAAGGCATACTTCATTTATACCTCGGTTTCTTTTTACATGAATATTTTATACATGTATTTATAAAGTACTAATGTAACAAAATATTTATATCCTAGTACTAAAAAATTAGTATTATAAATTATATATATTCTGTAAAAATTATTAGAATCATCATGCTGCAAGATATATGAATTTTTATAAAAAAAAAAAAAGTGTTTGAAAATGGTAGCTAAAACTTAAAAAACTAATTCCTTGTATGTATATGAAAGAGAAAAAGGTAATCATTGAATTCAGTGTTCTCACTTCTAATTTTGATAAAATTGGTTTCATTCGATGCGTTTTTGTACAAAATGAACGAATCTGACAAAAAAATGTCACTCTGTTTCATGAACCAAGATATTAATTGTTAAAGTTGGCAGATATACAGGCAGAAATCTGTCTGATAGCAAGAAACAAGAAACAAAAAGCATTGTAGAATAGGCTAAATTTTCTGCTTTAAAACACCAATTCTCTACTTAAAAAACAAATTATCTACTGTAAAAACAAAAATTATATGGAAAATAATTTTTAAAGAAAAAAAATTTGTATTTTATGGCGCGATCTCATTGCGCGGAACTTATGCGGAATTGGCGGAACACTCGTGATTGGTTTGACCTATTTTACGTTTGTCCGCCGATTTTTATGCCCATGCAATGTATACATACGGAATGGTACGGAATTACCGGAATTTGATATTCGCGAACAATATATTTTTTAATAATGACTAGTCTTGACCGGAATCAGACTACGCATTGAAGATTGAGATTGAAAATTGAAATTGACCAATGAGGATAAAGGAATTTTAACTCCTATTATTTTGATTGGCCAAATTTCAATCTTCAATGCGTAGTCTAATTCCGGCCTAACTAATGTTATGCCTGGTTTATGCTTCGGTCTTAAGGCTTAATCCTAAAATTCAGCCAATAGAGTTCAAATTTCGGTTAGAACTGGCAGCTTTATTGGTTGAATTTTAGGATCTTGGGATTAAGACCTGAAGCATAAACCAGGCATAATAATGGGTGCGTTCAGCGGATTCAACAGTTATCTCTCGCTGTTATTGGTGTATTCTTTTAGATCATCCAATTAGAATTTTAGATCTAAAAGAATACACCAATAACAGCGATTACTGATTGGTTACGTGTTAGCCCGGATCCTCATACGGGCAACAGCGCTTTGACACCAAACGCTGATTGGTGAAAAACCGGTGGCGAGGGTTAAATTTATCCTCATAACCGTTTTTCACCAATCAGCGTCCGGTGTCAAAGCGCTGTTGTCCGTATGAGGATCCGGGCTTAGACCATAACCGTTTTTCACCAATCAGCGTCCGGTGTCAAAGCGCTGTTGTCTGTATGAGGATCCGGGCTTAGCAATACACGGCAAATACGCCTCATGAGACGCCGACTTAAGATTTTGTATCATGGAAGCGCTGTTATCGCGTTGAACAACATGGCCACCAGTGTGAGAAAGACGTGATCACGTATATGTCGGATAACGTTCATCCTACATAGATTTTCCTTGGCAAACCGTTAGATGTCTCCGCACGTACTTTAAATTTTTAATGAGTCGAGTTTGTTCCTGCATGGCAGTGCAATCTTATTATTAGTTTCGTGCAGTTTCACGAGAATCGTAGGTTTGATATTTTATATCGTCAATAGCATCAGTCATCGAAGGGGAGGGGGGAGGGGGAGGGAATAGTGATCAAATATTGTGACATTGATTAAGTCAGGAAGACGAGAAATAGCAATATACCGCTGGATTTTCATATCGATACTGTAATACAATGGACAAGAATAGCAACAATTTGTATGCTTTCCTTTTAGAGGACGCACTCGACACAAATGTTGTTTTATCCTTTTTGACATTTAAGGAATAACAAAGATAGGACGATGTTTGTGTCGAGTGTGTCCTTTAAAAGGAAAGCATACTTTATCACACATTGAAGTAATCTGATATCTCTCTCTCTCTCTCTCTCTTTTTGTGTATGTGTGTGTATGTGTGTATGTGTGTGTGTAATTAATATGCCAGTTTTAAAATAATTTATTAGCTGTAGAACATTGACACATCAAGATTTGGAGAAATAAAACGATTGCGTGAGTTATTCATTGACAAGATTAACAATTGTAATATTGCTATTAACACAAAGTGATTTTATCCCTGGGAGTGGACGTACTAAAAATCTGATTGAATTTTTGAAGAGAGATGTATTATTCATAGAAACTCCTAATGATTAGACTTAGTGATATTGCGCCGTTAAGTGAATCGATTAGTGGAACGATGTTCTAACCTTTCAGTGTCGCGCTATTATATGTATGTGAAAATAACTAATATTTGCTATATTGTCATCATTTACACTACTATTTCAGGAAAAAATCTCCAAAAGAGTTCGATATGGAAATCTTTTGAACTCATTTGCAGAAATAGACATTACAGATGCTACTTTGTTTATAGAGAGCATAACAGCCACTCCCAACAACTCATAGTGTCCTGCTGAAATAAACGCATCAGCAACAGCAGTGCTGTCGAACGAGCAGCAAACACAGCTCATTTCAAACACTAATATCAAACGCAATATCAACAGCAATACACAGCTGGAAATATCGCAACCGCTGCATTGCACGTTGCTGAGAACAGTGGAGCTCTCTGTGAGATGCGGAGGACACCACCGCAAAATAAAGGTGAATTTTTTCTTTATTCGAATACTTGTATGATAAAATCATGTAATTTGCAATTAATAGATTTGTTCATGTTGCTTAAAATCCTCAATTTTGCACTAAAAATGAAAAAAATATATATTTTAAGAAGGTCCTGAAAGTAAGTTTAGAAGTGAACATGATATTTGCTTGATGTGCTGCATCAGGTGCATCATTTGCCAAATTTCCACGACTTTCCTAGAACTGCATCTACTATTATTGCTTGTGACATACAATTGTCACAGGCAATGTTATTCTACATTAGACGAATTTTCTAGTAAAAAATGTCATTTTTCTGGAGTTATTCTGTTTTCTCTAGAAAACATAATAGAAAGCTAAAGAATAATTGAATAAGAACATTCTGAACAGAATTCATTTTGAAACAATCCCAATATACTCTGGATAGTAAAACAATTTCTTGTATTCAGTAATATCGCTTATTATTCAAAGACATGTGGTATGACACACATCATCAAACGCTGTGTATACAGCTGACTTTAAATATGTATAACAGACTTTTTGATATTATGCTGAGAGTAATTGCTATAATGTTTGTTATTTTTTCAAACAATAAAACTAAAAACAATTTATTAAACAATATGAAATGTCTTATTAGGAAGCGATAAACATTAGCCAGGTAAGTAATAGAAGATCCAGGATAGAAAGATAGGTGTCAGTTAAATATTCGCTTGCTTATCAAAAGACCTATTATTTGTTTTTATTTATACCTTTTAAAGGTCACTTTTGAACGTCATTATATCTTTTGAAGGCCATTTGGACAGATCATGACCTTGATAACATATGTTAAGATCAAGGTTATCGACGCGATATTTGTTAATTCGAATAATCATCCGTGATTTTACGATTCAGTGCATTTTTAGTTAAACTATAATATTGTAGCAATATATAATTTATAATATTGTAGCAATATATTTATTTTAGCAATATATAATATTATATATTGCTAAAATAAAAAAATACACAAGAATATGTATTTTATTTTAAGTATTCAGGAAATTACGAATAGAGTAATAGTAGAGAGAGTATGCATATGCTTTTATTTCTTTACATCCCGTCATTATTTTTGTGATTAACATTTGTTCTTTCAGTTGACAGATCCGGAACTGGGCAGTCTGGAAGCTCGCCAAGGGTGACGCTCCGACTCAACCAGATACGAGGAGCGAGGGATGAGAAGAAAGGAGGTAGTAATTTAAACTTCCGCCAGAGCAACGTAAGCATACAGGTACATATCAGTGCAATTTGATTTTGTTATCACAACGTAATATTGATTGTGAAAAAAATCGATTTAAAGGAGAAGTAATTTAAACACTTTATTAGTAAATATTGAATACAGGGTCAAGGTTCAATGGAGACTTCATCGAAGATGCCGATTAATGTCTCATCGGCAAATTCTAATACCGTTTTAAGCACCGGCAATATGTCGTCATCTACTGACAGTGGTGATGTATACGAGTTTAAAAGCTCCAAAGAACCGACACCGGTGAGAGGTGCAAGTTCATCTCCGAATCCTAATCTGGATAAAGACAAGGATGGTAGCGGCAAATCCTCAACTGTTCAAGGTAGCCAAAATAGTGGAAATAATGTGTCCACTACTGGTAGCTCGTCGACACCTGTCAATGAAGCAACGATGGTATCTTTGACTTCTACTGACGAAGTGTCCGCTGTCTCAACGTCTTCACCTTCAGCGAAACGTATCTTTGAGGGCGACAATTTGGAGGAGCAAGACGAGGAAAATCGACGAAAAAAGCGCAAGGATTCTGAGGGCGCAAAGGAAAACACAAAAAATAATCCAACGGGAAGACAAAGTACTGGTAGAAATTCTACCAGTAGTGAAAAGGTAAGAATTGATATCACTTAACCGCGTAACATTTTTCTGCGGTTGTACATGTTAAGATATTTAATTTCTTGTAGTGTATAAAATCTACTAAGCAAGGATCTGGAATGGCATCTGGTAAAGGAAATCAAAATACGAATTCCAATACGGACAGAAAAAGTCCTAGTGCCTCTTCAATGGCCACTAGTCCGAAACCTTCGAATACTTCTAGTTCGACGAGTACGAAGAACGGTACTCCAGCGCCACTCGAATCTGACAGCGAGGAAGACCGATTGAAATGTTTAGATTCCAATTCTGCTCCTAAAGTACCACCTTTAAAGATAGTTATTCCACAGAGCACAGCATCAGAACAGGAACAAGGCAATAGGAATGGTAAAAATGTTGCAAGTCGAAGTCATCAATTGCCCTATGTAGTCGCTAGT